TTTTGAGCAGACTAAAGACACAAACTATCTCATTGAAATCTTGATTTAAAAGAAAGAAATGATGCTAGGTACATTAGAAAGACTTATAAAACCACTAGGGGACATTCTGAGCTTCTGATTGATTATTCATGTCATATATAGAAGTAAGTGTTTATTAGGGAGCATTTCTAAAAATGGAAAGAGGTGAGTGGGGTGCCAGTGTGTTTGATTCATTACATGAGCAATATCTTAGCAAATAGAAAAGATAAGAACTTCTTATTTTATACTCTAGCTTGTCAATATCTGTAATTTGAGTTTGTAATTCGTATGAAACTATAGACTTATTATTTGACTTTATAAACACCTAATTTGAACCAGTGCTGCATTCAACATACCACATGACACACAAAAATTGGTTTACCTGTGTTTTTTAATATTTACTTTTAAATTAACAAATTGAATAATACATAGTTCAAAACTTTGAATTATAATCTACAGTTTGATGCCAAACTTTCTGACATAAATTCATGAAATAGTAGTTCAATAAAATTTTGAATGCGAGTCAACAAACGAGATGACATGCCCTTTCACCTGTGACCCGTATAGAAAGGGTTAAAAGCTAGTAAGTGTGAGTCAGAAAAATGAGCAAATACTTCCCTGGTGCTGGCTTTTCCATGATAGTCCACAGAATAAATACAGTCTGGATTTGACAATGGAGTGATTATATATATATATATATATATATATACACACACTATGAGGATACCTCAAGTGGTCTTGTAGAACATCTCCCATTTTACAGTGAGCACAAGCAGAGCAAGGGCAGATGGTATGAGCATTTTCCCATTATCCTGGCTTGATGCAGGTTTTGGGTAAGTATACCCTGGAAGGCAATACCAGTCACCTTGCAGGATCTCATTAAATAAAAAGAGGCTCTGAAAAAGAAATAGTATGTATGTAACTCAAAGGTGGTGGGAAGAGTGAAGAATGGTGAACTGAGAAAACCAAAAATCTCCAGAAGATAAAATAGCCATGATCCACCACCGCTGCATTTTGGAGCTGGTAAGTGGCAAGGACTCTCATACTTCACTTGAAGGAAGGGGGAAATGATGCAGTAGGGACACCAGAAAAACGCAACATAGTAAGTGCAATGGGTGACCACAAAACCCTATGTTGAAAAGCAGACCAGTCCCAATTTATTCAACCAGGATCAGAGGGGTGGGCAGCTCTCCTGACACTATTTTACTCATGATATTCCATGATTTGGTACAGTCTGGGATGGACCTTATTCATGAAGCAAACATTGCAACAAAACCTCTAGCAGTCTTGCAGAACACCACATTTCAACAGTGAGCATTATAGACCTTAGCCATTCCTGGGTGATACACATTTTAAACTCCTTTCTGTGCATGTCACAAAGTGTTAAGAGTTACATTCAAAATTTAATTAAACTACTTTAATATCAATGTTTTTTAATGAAATTATTATTATTGTCAAGTGTGTTATAATTCAAATGCTTATATTATCTAAGTTTATATTCCTTTATTTAAAAATAAATCTTTAAAACAATAATAAAAACATTTCTTGTCACATGATGCACATGCAGCTAAAGGTGTTTTACTTTCCTTTATTCTATTTCAATAACTTTACATCGGAACCATAGGGCTAGGTTCAGACTATGTACATAGATACAAGTTTCAAATTCCATGTGGAAACAGAAAGGGGAAGTTGTTAAAATTTTTCTCCCCCCTCTGAGAGTAGCCACACTCACTTTTCATTGGAATGACATGCTTATAACCAATAGAAAGACTGTTTTTTGAAGTACAATTCATCAAGGTTATCTTGAAACTTGTTGCACCATTGTGCATAGCACTTAGTTACCTTATAAGTATTAGTTTGATAGACAATAAATTGCATTTAGATTTTACTTAATTATATATTATTTATATTTCAAAATTAATATTTCAAAGGTTTAGTAATTTTTTTTCACTATTAGCTAAACTTTGATCTGTAAGGTTTATTTAATAAGAGAGTGCAAAAATTATTTGCTGAAGGCTAAAGTATTTTTGCTGATGATACCATTTTATTGCCTGTGAGTACTCGTTGATCTGTGTCGATATAAATAATAAATGGTAGAGGAAAGGAAAATAAACTATTAGTGGAAAAAGGAAAGATGTGAAATTATGCATATGGCCCAAAGAAAATATTTTAAGATTATTCAGTGAAGAGATAATAGGTATGTATGTATATATATTTACATTTTTAACATTTCAGTGCACTGTACATTGATGATAACAGAGAGCTGGTGATATGGTAGAGAAAATGGAAAATAAAATATAAACATTTACCTTAAAAAACATTTGATATTCATTTAGGAGGTGCAAGAGATTATTCATATGGAATATGAAAACTGTAATATAATAAATAGTATTTTTATACTTAACATGAAAATCACCTTACAGGTGAACTACTCAAAATCCAAGTGCAAGTAACTACATTAAGTAATGAATTTTTAGTAGAAATAGTATAAAAATTAAAAATCAAATATTTTACTTTTTCTGAAACTATCCACTTTTATGGAATTTCTTATCAAGTTTCAAATAATTTCATTCACTAGTTTCATTTTTTGGAAAGAGATTTCACAAGGATTACGTAACCTACTTATAATGTAAGTAGGTAGTCCTAATCAGGTAACAGCCATACAGTGCAGATTTATGAATGAGTATACCTGGACAGACACCACTTGCCACAGAACAGAATCCAACATGTAAAATGGGTCATTGTAATGGAATAAAGAAACAGAAAAATACGTATCCACTCACAGTTGAATTGAGATATGTAGAAAGGCAATGGTTGGTAACCTGTATCTAGAGGAGGAGGAGACAGCCATATGATGTAGATAACATGTGACAAAGGTATTTGGAGTGGTCCATGTGCCAACCTGGATGATTTCTCCCAACAGAAAATAGAAGTGTGTGGCCAGGGAGAGGGTGATATGACAGATCTGGTTGGAGGATACCTGAAAAATACAATGGAATTGGGACACAAGGAAGAATAAGCCTACTTCATAAGCTAGCAAATCTAACAAATTCCAATGGAGAAATAGGTAAGAATGGGAAAAACAGAAGATATTGGATAAGGCTGCCTGATAACCAGCAACAGTAGACACAGACAAACCATGGTGGAGTTGAAGAACACTCCCAAACGGATGAAGTACTGGGTCAGGACGAGAAAGGACTTCTTGAACTTGACTAGCCAACCTACATGAGCAGCATCTCAGAAAAGTAGATGTGTGTACATATGAGATGCTTGTTAGGATGAAGCTAAAAGCAGCCAGTTATCCACGTAATGGTGAAACTGCAGACTTTGAGAAACAAGAAGATGGGCAAAGGTCCTAATCACCCAACAGAATACACAGGGTGCAGAAGTCAGACCAAACAGTAAAGCCCAAATGTAACATCTAAATGTCAGGGAAATAGGGATGAGAAGGTACGCATCCAAGACATCTATTTTTGTCATCCAAAGACTCAGAGTAAATGCCTGCCAAAAATTGAGGAAAGACTCCATGGAGAAATGAGGAAGGTTGATAAAACAGTCTTCTTGGAAACTTTGAACAACAAGGAACAGAACCCCCGGAGAAGGGTGACAGATTGGTTTGATAGCAACATTGTGAAGATCTTGAACTGCTTTGGATAGAGATTGGCAGAAAAGTGGATCCCAAGGAGGAAGAAAGGGAATAATGGAGGTGGGGTTAGAAAACGAAGGTAGACTTATTTGGATAACACCTGAAGCATCCAAGGATCTATGATGAAAGCACTCCACAGGAGAAAAAATTTGGCCAACTGTGCCAGAGACCCAACAATGAGCAATCTGAGACCCAGGAGAGAGAGAGACAGGTAAAACAGAGGAAGGAAGAAAGATGAGAGTGTTGTTGAGCAGCTTCCTCCCTGGACTCCAATGAGTCAGGAAGATCTTCAAAGACTGACTGTCATAAAAATGTAGTCACACAAATAACAAATGGGCAAGCACATATAAGCTAAAGGTTTGTCCCTACATAGGAGATCCCAACAATGAAGGAGTCAAGTTTGTAGAGAAATAGCAGAGGAAGACATGCATGCAAACATAGAAAACTAGAGGGAGCAAGTATATGCCGAAATCCCCTCAGCGGAATGGTGGATAGAGGAAAGGTAACACAGGAGGGTGGTGAGGGTCAAACAGAGATGGGAAAATCTCATAGCAGATCAGGTCATGTCCCAATGCCTGAATCAAAAACTAAGTTCTGTGAGTCTAGAAAAGGAAATTTTGAATGATGATACACTAATGTGTAGGAATCAGAGGCATGATCAGCATGGACCCTGATATCTGGAGAGGGTAGAAAAACAAGATATTCCATGGAAGTAGCAGCATGCAAGAGGGAAGGAGTCATAAGACACATGGGATACAGATAAAATGTAATGTACATGGAACACCATATCGAGGAAGGCAAAAGGTCTGACCTGGGACTGCACAGCAAAGGAAAATGTTGGAAAGAAGCTATCCAAACCCTTCTTGTCCTGACCAGGTTCCCCAGGATATGGTATGTCTGGTCTTGGGCCAGGAGACACAGCAGGCCACATGATGGACTCCAACTCATGATGAACTAAGACTGAAACCTCCTCAGCAGAAAGAGTGGAGCCCAAAGCCTGAGAGACAAAAATACTTTCAAAAATCTTTCACAAAAAAAAAAAAGCAAACACTAGCAAAAATTACAAACGTGAATTCTAAAATGCCAAATCAAGAGGTGATGGGGTTCAGTGACAGTAGTAACAACAATAGTTATTGTAACATGAAATTGTGAGTTCATAACTCAAACTGAGTGTGGGAATTTTCAGATCAACCTACAGTATCAAATTAATGTAAAGAAGAAAAATTATTAAGTTAAAAACCACAAAAATAGTTGTTCTACAAAATCTTTTGAAGAAAAAAAAAAGAATCAAAGCAAATATGAGCAAAAATGAGAAATGTATGAATTCTAGAATGCCAAATCGAGAAGTGAAGACTTAGTTCTATGGTATTGAGGGATTCAGCTGCACCAGAAGGTTGTCTCACATTCCTATTGGTGGAGGGCTGCCACATGCTTATTTGCATTCTACAGTAAGGCTGCACCATGTGTAAACATGTGGGAATAGCTGGGATGATCAAGGCTAGTGGTAAGCAAAAATTACACATACAGAGGGCAGCACTGAAGGAAAAAAGCTATTATGTGGGAAGACTAAAGGTATCGTATCAGAAGGTGATGTGGAGGAGACGAATTTGTGAAGTGTCCACATGCCTTTCTGGATGATCTCATCCTAGGGTTGGTGAAGAAGAAAAAAGTGTGATGAATCAAATGTGAAATAGTCTGGGAGCATCCACATCTGATGACTCGTATGCCAATCACCAGAGGAAGCAATGGAATAATCCCATAAGGGTAGAAAAAGAGTTCCAAGGTGAGAACAAACAAAGATAGGGACCTCAACAGGAAGAGGTCCAAGAAGAGGTATGCTAAATAGCCCAATAGGACACAGGAGCCAACCAGGTCCAAAAGGTAGGGAGATAGGAATGAAAGACAGTCAACTTCCCAAGCAGGTGAAGTTTGAGGAAGGAAAGACCAGTCCAGGGAGAGGAGTATATAAGTGGGGTAGAAGAAGGTTGAACAAGCATCTATAAACATCCAAATGACGGTAGTCACAGGTGAGGAGGAGGAGCAAATGAGACAGAAGAGAGAGATAGTACAAAATGTAAGAAATAAAGTATTCAAATGGGGCAAGCACAAGATCTTTAAGACTTTACAAAGGTCTCAGAAAGGCATGGAAGTTGTGTGAGGAGGATGGAGAAGAATGAAAGAAGCAGAACAAATTGGAAAGGACAAGAGAAGAAACATCATGAGGTACTGGGAAAGAAGAAATGCCATGGATGAGGCCTTCTGACAACCAATAAAGGCATAGACCAACAAGAAATTGATGAACAGTCAGGTAAAAATGGCAGACAGGTGGTATACAGTATGACAGTAGGAAAGTAGTGGCAGAAGGACAAATGACAAAAGACCCACTACAGATGGTGACAGTAAAAGGCAATGGAAGACCAACAAAAAAGTGATGAGAAAATGCCACAGAATTGGAAAGTTTGCCCAGTGGGTGATAGATTGGTAAATTTCATCTGTGAAGATATTTCTTGATGAAGAAGGGATGTGTGAGGTTGAAGCAAGAGAGAAAGATATGGGATAGTGGGGAAATGAAAGGGGAGATTGAATGTCAAGCAGACCAAAGCTAATAAGCTGGTCAAATAGGAACGAACAAGAGTGTTCAAGAAGGAGAGTACTGTGTAAATCTGATGCCCAGAAGGAGGAGACAAATAGGGAAGTAGGCATGGAGAAAGAGGTAAGACCAGGCTTGGTGAGAAATTAACAGCCAGAGCCTAAGGATGAGGAATAGAGGACCATAACAGAGGAAGCCTAGAGTCAAGAAAGGTGGCAAATGCATCCAATAAGGGTGTGTCCAATCAAGAGTAAACCCCACTAAAGACTTGGGGATGTAGAGGCCATTCCATGGATAAAATGCAGACTGGTCAAGAAAGGCTGTTTGCCATCAATATGTAAGCTATTGCTAAGATACAAGTAAGATCAACCCTGTGTGAATAGGCACAAAAATGTATGTTTAATGCTTGAAATCAAAAGGTTCTGAATTGGGTGCCTCACAGAAGGTTAGTACAAGAAATGACTTGGGAATACATTGATCAGATTATGACCAGGTGATCCATAAGCAGGGGCAGGAATGGGAACATGCTCGACAAATAGCGAGATGGTCAAGCTTGTTGATGGAGTGAACATCTGTCCAGCATTCAAATGTCAGAAGTCCTACCCACATCTAGAAATGTACCTCAATCAGCCCAAAAGTATCAAACACTGAGTAAGCATGAGAAAGGACCAAAGTCTCAAGATATGTACCTCCCCAACAAAGTAGCCACTATAAAAGAAAGGAGGTAGAATAAAACACCTGAATATAGGCAAACTGAAGTAAATAATCAAAGAAATAGAATGACAGCCCTAGGCCATGAATATGGAAAACAAAATCCCTCATGATATTAATGAATACAATAAGAGTCAATGCTAAGTCAAAGGGAAAACAAGGAAAAGAGGGAAAGAACAAAGAAAACAAGTGGAGGACAGGTCAAGGATGCCTGTATGGTGTTCAACACAGACCATGGTCAACAAAGGGAGGGAAATAGGAAATGGGAAGAGAAGTGAGGCAAGAGACCAAAGAGGAGAAATGAAAAATGACCACAATTAGATAATGAGACCAACAGCAGAAGAAGAGTAGGGCACCCACAGAAACATGAATGTGAGAAAGTCACTCACAAGAAAAGTGACAAACTAGACTTCTTGTAGAGGGAAGATGAGAAAAAGAAGGTCAGGAAACTAGAAAGGGAAGGTTAGGAGTAGACTGATCTAGACAAGTAATAGAAGTAGAGGACAAGTTCAAGATAAGAGGAAAACTCCTGGGAGAAATCAAAGACAGAAGCCATATGACATCAGTCCAGAATATTAGGGAGAAAGGAACCCTACTGAAGGCATCTGGGCAAAGAAAGGGAGCCAAACAAATAATCAGTACACAAGAAAAATGAAGTAGTACAGGAAAGAGGCTCATAACCCAACCCAATAAGTTCCACCTGGAGGGGAATAGAGAGGGATAGAGCAGAAGTAGAACAGGCCAAATAGAGAAAGGAACGAACTTAAAAAAAGAAGTCCATTTGAAGCATAAAGTGCCTCAGAGAAAGGCTGAAATCAGGTCGAGGAATACAGGACGGTAAAGAGAAAATGACAAAAATGTGAATATCGGGAACCAGAGAGTGAAATGGAAGGTAAGGAGCCTGAACTCCAAAGCTGGCTAAATAGATACCAATGACAGAGAATTGAGAAAGGGAAAGGAAGAAAGTCTACAAATCAGGACCAAAGTAATCACGAATGTGAGAGGGTGTGAGAAAGGAACCATTAGAGAAGTGAAACAGTATAAATCCTAATAACAAAGAGAAAATATAAGGTAAACTCCAAGAATCAGGGAGCAAGAAAATGAGAAATAATAAAGAACATAGGTAAAAGATAAGAAAAAGGACATATTTGACAATGAAGTCTGGAAGGAGCTGAAAGAGCAAGGTAGTTTCATGAATGGTAAGGTACTACCCAAAGCTAATCAGGTAATGTTGTAGTCCAACAGATCATTCCTGACCGAGGAGAAAGAAAGTGAGCTAATGGGACAGGAGTAGGAAGCCCACTAAGCATGTGGCAATCCACAACACAATGAACAATCATGTTATTCTACTATCAGAGGTTAAATAATAATTACTTCTGACCCCTCCATTTAGCACCTGTTGTCAAGTGATTATGAGAACAAAGACTCATTCAACAGAAGAGGCTTGCTCTTGGTGAATGACAGCTATGACCTGAACATAAAACAAAAGTACTTCTGACTATGTCCAAGTCTACATCCTTCTGGTGTTCTAAGCATTCTATACTGGATGCAGTTACATCAATAAGTATAAAATTAGCAAGAAAAAACACCTCTATATCAATGTGTTTTCTCATCCTGCTTGTAAGTATCCACATGGGTGGCCTGCATTTTTTGTGTTCCGTGTACAATGAGACACTGATTTTTACTTTTACTGTATAGAAAATAAATACGAAGGAAAAGCAGTTCCACTTTACAGAACTAGGATTCTTATGATGCACTTTTAAACATGGTGCAGTTGTAAACTCTTTTCTAAATAAATATGGTACAAATATATTGTATGTGAAGAATAAATTTAACAGTTGATATTGTAATTATGCTTAATGCTGCATAGTTTATATGCATTGTACTAGTACTATTCATATAGTCAACAAATTGTTCAAATATATATTATACTATATTTTTCATTTAAAATTCAACTTATTACCCATTTTACTAAATTATAGACCTACACAATCATAAAATTAAATGAACTTGAATTAATTTACCCAAAAATAACTTTAAAAGTATAATGGAACTACCCATTTATCCTTCACTTGCACTAAATGCTGTTAACAGGAAATTGGTCATCCAGTTAAGGCCAATTTAAAAGTTAAGGGAAAAACAAAATCTCAGTGTTTTTCAATGGACCACAAGCTCACCCAGAATTTTCCTGGTGTCCCTACAGACCAATCCATTCCACATGTTTTTGACCATTTTCTTTAGTTAATGTTTAACCCCAAATTATCCACAACATTATATTCCACTTTTCCTCTACCAGCCTGAAGCAGAATTTAAAATTAAAGTAGCATCCTGTGGTAAACAATAAAAATGTTTAATAAAGGACAAAAGAATGTTAAAACATGAGGTTACAAACATTTCAATGTTTTTATTTCTTTGTGCATGTCAAATCTTTTTGTCATTTGAAAACAAATATTTTCAATGCTATGAAATTTGCAATTTGCCTCTAGCTTCTACAAGAAAATGTTTCCATGTATAGCCTGTCAACTATCATTTCATTTTCTCACAGATGTTTAAATTTTCATTCATGAAGCTTGGTTAATTTGGTCATACTGATGTATCAATTCATTTCCAACCTCGTATGACATATCCTCTAATGGTGTTATAAAATTATGTGTAATATAAATATCTTAGATTCATTACATTCTAAGATGTTTGAATAAAATACAATGTGAGAGAAGTAAAAAAGTTGAAAAAGAAATATTTTATGACCAAATATGGTAAAAACTTAACTCATTATAGTAAACAATGCAACTCAAAATTCAACTTAAGGTATGTTTTATAATTTCTTTTATTTACCTGAAGGTTATTAGAAATATACTACATGAGAGTTCTTATTTCTCTGGCACCAACATATACCTTGTGCCCCCTTTCCCATAGATATATTGACAATTTTTTAAACAAATTATACACACATTTGACATGCATATATACACATTACACATTGCTAAACATATTTATCCAACCAGAATGCACACTCAAAATGAAACTTTCACTGAAAATAAAATTTTACATGGATTTAGATGTAAACAACATTAATGAAACATTCCTGTTTAAAATTTCCAAAAATACAGATAATTTTAATACAGAAATGTTATTTTATTTCTGAATACAAATATTCCAAATGAGTTATACTACACACTACAGTGTCACAACTGAAAAATTATTGTATACAAAAGTAATTTGTTGTACAAAATTTTGTGGAGATCGCTTACTCTCACATTTCACAACAAGGTTTCTTTCATGTTTTAAATGCTAGATTTATTGAATTTCATGGTAAATAATATTCTTGCTACCAGTAATGGAATTAAAACATTCTTACACAATCTCAACCTTTTCAAAACTATCACATCTACACCATAATTTTTTTAAACTAATTCTTTAGGTAATAAACAACTAGTGTTATTGCAAGCTGCGTAATAGTTCCTTATATAATGTAGCATTATGTTATTAGTTTAGTTATACATTAGTGTGTGTCAATTACTGTTCTGTTTACCATTCTTACTATTTCACCATTTTAACTATTATTACCATGATTGTCCTTTTATGTTATTATTGCTTATGCATTTCAGCTAGTTCTTAGTTTCATTTTTTTTCATTTTATTTATTACTTCCAGCTGTCTGTTCTGTAAATTTACCATACATGTAAAGGATAAGTGTAGACTTGAAGTCAGATTAGTTGTGTATTAGTTGTTCACCATTCTGGAAATCATGCTATAGTCTATAGTACCCTAATACACCACGTGTTAGGTAAACTCAGCAGAGTTAAAAGTGCAAGAAATTATGTCAGATACTTTGTCACTGACATTATCTGAGAATGTTAAGCATCTGCAGGAAAAAATCGATAGCAATACCTGCAGAAGCTGAAGCTAGCAGGCTTGCAAAGTGACCCAAACATTTTGCCAGACAGATTTTCTGATATCGCGAGAGGCGTAACCACATCACTAACAGAATTCACCCCTCACAACTACCTTTTTTCATTGCCTGGCATGTATGAAATTTGGCCATATTCTTTGCTGCTCATCTCTTCCAGTGTGACTTGAAGTGAGAAAACACAGTAGGAATATAGACAAGGGAAAGTGGGTGATCACTCTTGGCACCTAGAAATTTAATTAACAGAATCATATGTACTGGCAGCCAGTCTGAGACTAAATATTATGATGCCAAAAATAATTATTCATGGAGAACTGAAATACAGAGAAACTATTTTTGATCTGTTTGGTTCATATGGTAAAATTTCCAGACTTTCAGGATACTGTTGAAAAAAAATGACAATGTGATGGACTGATAAAGTTCATTGCATGCCAGATCTTAGTATATTTGAAAATATGTTATGTTTTGTGTGTCATTTTGGGCTATAATGCAAGCTAATACTGTCATGTTATCAAAAGTTTTACCTGGCTTTGGGGCTGGATGATCATTTACACTTTTATCCGATAGTATAAAAGGATACATTTATCTGATATAACTGCCATAAAATGTTTGCTACACAGACAGCTGTAGTCTGACAGTTCCCAGTCTTTCTGATTGACAACTGACATCCATTGATTCCGCCACTCTTAATCTTTTGGAAAAGGATAGAAAACAAGACCAGACTTTTTTCCCCATCTACTGCTACATCCAACAGCACAACAAGCAATTATCATGATGGTACTGATGAAGCCAAGGCATTAAGTCATTTAAGACAAGTTCACACTGCTATGTCTGGAGTACACATGCAATAGCTTTACCTCCACAATGGCCAAAACTACGGAAGTTCCTAGCTTGTGATGTCATGTGCAAAACCTCAATAGGCACAGCTCATACACTGCAGTATGTTCAGTAACTTTTACTTGTATTTACTGTACCTTGGTTATTTATAATTAGAATAATTAACATTTTTACTGTGTATTAAACAGTTTTGTTATTCTTTTAATTGTTTTTATCTACATAAACATGTCTTTTGTTGTATTACTTGTATCATCTCACTACCCGCCTATATAGCTAAGCAGTAACATAATGTAGCCATTGATCTCACACGTGTTGAGCTTATCTATATGTAAACTACACTGTTGGAGCTGTATTGGGTGTTGTTTGGGAGGATTATACAAAGTTTTACACATATTGGTGTTATATTTTTTCAAGGAAAAGATAATCAAAGATAATGCTTGAAGAAAACAAATAGTTCTTTTTATAAATTATATTCCATTATTTCCCCAATGTTAGTTTCATTAACAGCATTTATAAAAGTTTTAATATTCACAACATTCCTAATTCCATATATTTTATATATGTATGTTTTATCACAATGATTATTTTGAATTATTCAATAAGGGTATGGTTTAGAACTAATCTGAGAAAATCTATGCCTCCTAAATTGGCCTAACCTGGTGAAATATTATTGGGATTCTAATATTTATGGCCAAAAAAAAATATTATAAATTTTCAGAAAAGGTACATCAATTAAAGAATCAATGTATTTACATTTTTTTTTTACATTGCATTCTCCTAGTGTATTAAATAAGTTGCACTACTTGCTCATCAAGTCGCTGGTTAATTTTTATTTCCGACATACGTTTGATCAGAAATTACTGAAAACTATGGGCATACTTTGTCAGCCTTTCAAATAGATCTACACAGTTATAATCATTAAATAAAAAAGCACATTTAAAATAAGAAAAAAAAATACATATTATGTATTACAATGCCAAGATGGTTTACCAGGAGTTTCAACAATATGGAATCTAAAACTTTTTTCAGTACATCAATGTCAAGTTCACATTACAATGTGTAGTCTATGGATAAGGGAAACGTTTTTTTTGTTTGTTGTTGTTGTTTTTGCAGCATATAGCAAAATATTAAACCTAATTCTGAAATGATCTCTTTTAAGTTTTACTAATGTAATCTAAACTGCATCCTTTCTGGTCGATTCCTTGATCATTTGGAATAGAAAACCATCTCTTATCACTTCACGTTCAAGAAACATTTTTTCCCCCACTATTATTAGGAATAGTATTACTATTACTAGTAATATTAGACTATATATATAATTCAGAGTAAAGCAATATAATATTTTATTTTTAACTTAAGCAAAACAAAAAATATAATTATTTATAACTTATAACTATAAGGCAAAGGCGTAACACTGAAAACGTGCCAATACTATTTTACTGTATTTTTATCTAAACAATAAAAAATTAAAAGCAAGCGTAAACTCATCAAAGTGATCAATGTTTTAGCGAAACAAATCAAAACTATTAGTATTATTTCAAGTATTTGCTTCAAACTTCGACATTTATAATAATATATATATATATATAAATTAAAGTTTGCAGGTTATAACTTACTTATAATTTCTCCCAACTCCTATAATCTTTCTACCAAATTCGACAAATCTGCTCAGACGCATTCTTGCTCATGAAAAACTATCAATTTCAAAATATATATTGCAGCTCAAACCTATTAAAACTTAAAAATCGATTCACCTAATTTAATCTAATAAACTATAAACCAAAATAGAGAAATCACTTATTCTATTGGACCCCAAAGAATTTAACGTCGCCCTCTATTTTTCTTTTGTAAAATTGTGATGTAGATATTTATTAAAATAAATAAAGTATAATAAATAAAGTTTAATTTATTTGAGAAAATGTTTTTTTAAGCAAGTTTACACAAATCACTGCTTATTGAAAGAGAAGATAAACAAAAACACATGCGCGCGCACGCACACACACACAGATAATATTTTATTTTCTATTCCTAAACTCTTGTCCACCAGTGGGTCAGCGATAAGTTTGCAGATTCACAATATTAAAATCCGGTGTAGTGGCCAAAGCGCAGAGAGCCTATTGTGTAGTTTTGCGCTAAAACAAAAAACTCTAACCTCTAACTTTATTGCATTGCATTTTTGTTCTAGGACTACATTTCATACAAGTGGGTGTAAGTCAAAGTAAACTGAACAACAATAGAACATGTATATTCAAACCTCCCTTTTGTGAATTATCATCGCTTAAGGGTGGTGAGTTAATGTTAAATGAAATGTGTAATAGCAAACAACAGTTTGTTGAAGGAATGCAATGTATGTACACTTTATCTATTATAACAGAAGCATTTATTACTATTTATATTTTGTTGTAAGCTATATTTTTTAATGTTGTAATTTGTTTGTTAACTAGAGTTTGTTTGTTTGTAATTAAGCACAAAGCTACACAATGGGCTATCTGTGCTCTGTCCACCACGGGTATCAAAACCCGGATTCTAGCTGTTACGTCTCTATCTGACTGCAGTTCAATTACTCATTACCTACACACACATTGTCCCGTCACGTTGTGACCATCTTTTATATACCAGCCTACCCTATATCTAGTAAATGCTAGGGCATTCACCAAGGTACAGGATAGTTCTAGAAACGTGGCGTGACGCTAGTCATGTGACCTCGCTGACGCAACACTGCCCCTTCCTTAGTATTGTTCGTCCCGAACAATAACCACATACAATAAACCAATAACAATTAACAATAACTCAATTAAATGTACAGAATTACAATCAAAAAATTGCAATACAACAAAGTCTCT